GAGTGGAAACTTCTATAGCCATTTTGGAAACCAGTGTGGAAGTTCCTTATGAAGCTGGAGATAGATCTACCTCAAGATACAGCTTTACCACTCTTGGACCCAAAGGATGTTTCATTCTACCACAAAGATATTTGCTAAGCCATCTTCATTGCTGCTGTTTTCACAGTAGTGAGAAATTTAAAGCATCCTGATGTCTATCAACAAATCAATGAATAAAGAAATGTATGGAACATATTACTAAGCTTAAAAAGTTTAAAAAATGGAAATTACAAAATTTATAGATTAATCGATGGAGCTAGAAAAATCTTCCTGAGTGAGGTAACACAGACTCTAAAAGACAAATAATGCAATGTATTAGTTTATATGTTGAGGGTTCTTAAGTCTTTGGTAACTAAGCTACAATTCTTATAATAATTTTTAGGTATAGTGTAAGGAACTAAAGAACAGGGAAAGCTCTCTCTAGAGAGGGAAAATAGAATAGGTAGTTATCGATGGACAGAGATTAGTGAACTAGAATGGAAGAATCAAACTGGGAAAAGGAAGGAAGATGTGGTAAGGAAGGAAATATGGAGGCACTCCTAAAACTAAAGGAGGACTCAACTGAGAAAATATCTCAGTAAGATCAAGCTATAAGAAACCTATAGGATATGTTTTAATTTAGTGATTGATATGGGAGGGCCTAGCCCAATGTGGGTGGGGCCGCTCTTGGGCAAGGGTCCTGGGTTCCATAAGTTGAGTAAGTTATGGAAGCAACCCCCCTGTATGGCCTATACATTAGCTCCTGCCTGCAGGTTCCTTCTATGCTTAAGATTTTGTCCTGAAAAAATATCTCTGCAATAATATTTTCAATTTTAAAATAAATTGAAAAAGGCATTAGAAGGTAGAAAGACTCCCCATGATTACAGATTGGGAAGATTAATATAGCAAAAAATGGGAATTTTACAAAAAGCAATATACCAATATAATGAAATCCCAATAAAAATTTCTACAGATATATACAGGAAGAATTATGTAGAAGTACCAAAGATCATGGATAACCAAAGAAGTTTTAAGGAAAGAGAATATTGCTGGGCGCATTGTATGCTTGATTTTGAGCACTCCAGAGACAATAATGTAAACAGCATGATGCTCACAGAAAACAGGCACATGAACAAATGGAATAAAGGACCCGAAACGATCTGCCACCAATGAGACTACAGTCACTTGATTTTTGACAAGCTAAAAATACACATAGAGAAAAAAATAGCAGTTAAAAAAAAATAGTGCTGGGAAATTTGAATATCTGCACATATAAGAATAAAATTTAATTCTTATCTCTTAATCAAATACTTATCTCAAATATTCCAATATTAAGCACAAAACTTTGAAGCTTCTATAGGATAAAGAGAGTACAAAATATAGGCATATGTAAGGACTTTCTGAATAGAACTCTAGTCATTCATAAAACAAGGCTAACAGTAAACAAATGGAACCTTACAAAATTAAAAAGAAAAACAGGATACTGTTAATAAAGTAAATACACAGCTTATAGAATGAGATAAATATTACTGCCAACTATACATCTGACAAATTATTAGTATTTAGTATACAGTTTTCAAGGAGCTAATTAAGAGCACAAACAATCTAATTTAAAAATGCTCTAGAGAACAAAATGGATAGTTTTCAACAGGAGAAACACAAGATGCTTCCCTAGCCCTCTTCCCCCACCCCTGAGATGATTCTTATGGGTAAGGGGTAAGGCAGAGGAATCAACAACACAGATTCCAAGAGCCAGATGAGAAGCAGAAGAAGACTTGTTAAATGAAATAATGATGGGTACCTATATACCTACCCTCTGCCCTCTTGGTCCACAACTTTTTGTCCTACACCACTGGTACCAGTGGATTGACTGCCCTGGTCATAATTTGCCTCTGGGTGTCAGACAGATTCCTAGGTTGGTGAATGCAGAAGCACTTGCTGTACATGCCAGGGCCATTACAGGCTGATAATCAGAACATATTGACTCACCCCTATAACAAATGACCAATTATACTTCAAAAATATTCACTATCTTAAAAATAACAACAAAGAGGTATTCTTAGCCACAAGGGAAATGCAGATTGCAAGTACTTGGATATTTCATTTTATCCCATCAGAATAACCAGTATAGAGAAGACTGGGCTGACTCCATGACAGGCTTCAAATTGGCAGTTCAGGAGACTAGACCTAAATCTGTTTCCAAGAGCTGGCCAAGTTCAGGCAAGTCAAGGCCTCAGAAGCTATCCCATCACCTGGCCTGAGGCAAGGACAATGGGTCAGCAGCAGTTTTCAGACTTCTTCAGCATCAGTCTCCAGATCTCTATACCCCAGCAATGGTTCTGGAATGTTCCTAGAGATAGAGCCAAGATTAACATAGAGATTACCTACCAGGATTCCCCTAATGTGTTTTAAGTGGGTTAAGCAAGCTCACTTCAAGGTCTATCTTTGTAGATGGTAGACCTAGCATGCTGGACTTCTACAGAATGAAACAGTATTTGGGTTTACATACTATTAGGTATGTAAATACCAAATACCAGGGTATCATTTTTCAGCAAATCATAGACCCTTAGAGTAAAAAGCCACAAACAACCAGACAAACAAAATTAAAATCAACAAATGCTGGCAAGGATATAAGGAAAGATGAACCCCTATTAATCATTAGTAGAAATGTAAACTTACAGCTACTGTGGAAATTAGTGTGGACATTACTTTAAAACCTATAAATAGAACTTCTGTATGGCACAGCTATACCATGTCTACATATTAGTCAACGATTCTATACCCTATTTGGAGACACTTCTATATCCTTGATTTTGCAGCAGTAGTCACTATGTGAGGAAATAGAACAAGATGTCTATCAGAAGATGAATAGACAATGAAAATATGCATATATTTACTATAAAGATGCACATATTCAACTATAAAAAAATGAAATTTCTTAAAGTTACATGCAACTGGAAAATAAACTGAATATGTAACTCTGGTCCTGAAATACAGATGCTGTATGTTTTTCATATCCAGGTGTTGTTACGAACACTTGGAATAGTGTGTGTCGTTTTGAGTGCCAGTAAAGGCCAGAAATTGAAATGGATCATTGAGTTAAGAGAAGTAGATGTCTTAATCGAAAAGGTATAGTAGAATATACCAAACATGACCATGAAATATGGAATAGTAAGGACAGACAATTCTATGCAAGGAAGAAGGAGGAAGAGGGCAGGGAGAGGATGGGAGAAGAGGTAGAGGTAATCCAGATAATGAAATATGAAAATTTATCATTTTATAAACATACAAAACATATCTAAAAGGAAAAGAAAGAGTTTGAATGTAGTTCTCTCTCTGTGTGGACAATGTTCCTCCCAGAAAGCCATGGACCGTTAAATGAAAATCTCAGTGTTAGATGTTGGTGCCTCCCTGTGATTTCTTGTCCCAAAGTCTTCCAAGATAACATATTTTTGCCATTGGTTGTTGACCACAATTTGATGGTTAGCTGCTATAGCTGAAGATGCTACATATTTTGGGCAAAGGACAGAGAAACCAACTGGTCCTGAGAATCTAGTAAAAGTAATGACTTTTGGAGCAAGAAGTGTCAAATTTGTTCACTGCTGTAGCCACCAATCAGTCACCCAGGCTACAGTAAATTATCTTTCACCCATATAAGCTCAGTGGGCCATACACCAATGATGACATGAAAATAGGACAAGATTAGTTTGGAATAAGAGGAACTTTATCACAAATAAGGGACTTGAGAGAGAACAGAAATTCTCACTAGAAAGCAGAGTGCCAATTTAAGGGGTTTACTGACCTCAGGCTAGAAAGAGATAAAGTTTGGAGACTGAAAACCCTGGCACGGAATGTTAACCAAGGGGTAACTGCAGGGTGTGGTTATGGGAACCTGTAATGTAATCACTTGTTCCATCTTCAGAAGAGATTATGTTTCTCCATGTTACCAGGAAGTTTGGGGAGCTTCATGTCCATAAATTAGTGAGAGAAAAATTTGGAGGTGAAACCTGGGGTACTATGTACTATCAGGAAATCAGTGTTTCCTTTTTGTTGTTGTTTTGTTAATTTAAAAAAAATGGACTAGGAAGGAAGCCTGAAGACAATTTTATTAGAATTTAAGAGAAAAACAACAGGACAGGCAAGCTGTGAATTTTAGCATCGGCTCAGAGGAGGAACTAGAGTGAAGATTATGCTATTTGTTAAGTAGTCACATGGGTGAAGCAGGAGCCATGGAAATTACTCCAGAGAAAAAGTCTGAGAAAACCCTAGAAGAAAATGAGAAATTTCTGCTTTTTTGAGTAGTTCAGGAAAGTGGGCAAGCTTACCAGACCTACCTTATGTCATCTCCATAAGCAGCTGCCTCAAGGAACTGGCTTTTGAAAAGACAAATGCTATATCTCATTAGAGGATTATTACTTCCATCTCCTTAGCATGACAATAAGAGTATGAGACTTCACAAAGCCTAGTTGAATGATTTGCAGGCTCCCTAAACGACCTCTTAAGTGCTGAGTATGTAATATCCAATCTTTGGAGAAGATCAGCATGCCATGTTGATACCAATGGTCAGAACTGGTTCTGTCAGGAGAGGGTTGAACCTCAATGCCATGCAATGTTACCAATCCCTATCTAGCTATCTATCAGCAATCTAGGGAAGGTATATAAAGAATTGGAATAAACTTTGATAGAGAAAAGTAATGGTGCATGTCCGAAAAGATCAGCTATATACATTGTTGTACAGGAGGTTTCATTTTCTTTATTCTTTTCCCTTTAGGCATAGCACGATGCCATCTTGGACTTGGCCCCTGGTAGCCATGGCAATCAGAGCTAAATAATACACTGGTAGCTATGCCTGTGGTAGCTTTAATAAGTGTAGTGACATTTCTTAGTGGCCAGTGGAAGGGTGGGTCAGGAGCTCCTCATCTGAGATCCTGCTTGTGTACTTCTCTGTCTCCTGCTGCAAGTGATCCTGGAATATACTAAGCATGAAAGAAGTGAAAAGTGGAACTCTTCAATGCAGCTCCCATGAGGTCATCATACAGGATGTGGTAGGCGCAGGTGCTTAGAAGATCAGTCATTCTTTAGCAGGTAACTACCCCTCATCTATGTACTATGAATAATATTGAATAAATACTGAAAATTATGTGGAAAAAAATCATGAAATAATAGTGTTCAGAAATCTCTTGGTTGTCCTGAGTTAAACTTTGGTGAAATTATATTTTGGTTCACTTTTAGTAACTATCTGGAGTTATTACCCATTTCCCCCCCACATCTCCCCAGAAAAAGTTAATGCAACATCTATGCATAAACCAATTCATGGGATTTACTTAGAATAAAGAAAAGTGTAATACTGAGGCTTTTAGGAAAGATTGGGGCTGATATATTAAGAGAAAAAACATGCTGGCTGAGTATATAGTTGAATACCTGTAATGCATTCCTCTTGTTGATAGTGCTATTTTTTTGTTATGGCTTCATTCTAGTACCATACACAGAATGACATAAACAGGAATTTTCATGTAACATCAGCCATTATGGCAATAAGGATAAAAAAAATCGAAAATATTCATCAACTGATCCACAGAGAAGAAAGTTGGAAGTCATGGATATAGAAGGGTTGATAGAGAATGTAGAAAAGAATAAAATTCAAATATATGTTCACTTTTTCCACATAGGAGCCAATCCATCATAATATTAAGTGATTATGTGTGAAGTTTCTGAGAAGAATGTTCTACACTTTCTAGAACTGAAAAGCTTTAGTTATCTGTGGTTCATTTTAGGAAAATTCCAAGAGTGCCATTGCTGCCAATTCTCATTTTTCATTTGTTTCAGGACATTGATGTGTTGCCATTTGTTCAGTATAGGAGTTTTCTTGTTTAGAAGTATAATGCCCATAGGCTGCAGAAATGGTTCAACCATTAAAGGCTAGGCACACAGCCAAAAAAGTATAAGAACTATAATGCCCCCTAACTTTGGTGAAGCTAGTCTGCCTTGCTGTCAGCAAGACAGACAGCTTGGTCCACCTAGCAACATAAGCAGTTCTTAGAGGTAACATTTGAACATAAGCAGCATATTGCAAACCACTGAGCAAGGTCAAACATTTATGTGAATTTTGTATGTCTTAAAACACATGCACAAAATTGCATAATTCTTATTTTGAATATATTTAAGAATATGCATGTGATGATCACTGGCTACTTTTAGATTGGGTTTGCTTAACTTTTCTGGACACTGAAATCAGAAAAGAAAATGTAAGCATATTTAGCTAATCAGAACTCAAATGAATGATTTGCTGCTTTTTCTCTCAATGAAATGAAGAACCACCAGATGTAGCACGGGTGATGTCTGGTACAAGGCTGTCCTTGCATGCCCTGCCTGTCTTTCTTCAATAGATAATGTGGAAATAATGGCTACCACTCCCTGTCAGCACCTTCACTATCTTCTCTGCACTGAACAATGGAGAATGATGCTCTATTTTAGAGCTGGAACCACTTTTATGGAAGAATTATTGCTTCTCAGGGGTTTCTGAAAAGAACTGTAGGCATTAATATTTCCTTTTCATACAGTTGTGATAATTTGAGGCTAGAAAAATCACTCAAATATTTATGAACTACCTGCCCATACTAGAGCCTAGACTCTCATCAGACTTATAGTAAAGCACAGATCTTGTCATCAAAGACTGGTATGCTCAAAGGAAGAAGCAACATATAGTTTCATACATCTTTAATTGTAAAAACAAACCTTCACATTTCTGCTAAAGGTGTTGCTGTCGATGACACAGTAAAGTGTTTTCTATTCAAAGAAATAAAGACTGTTGGAATGTGTGTTGTTATTTTGTTCTTTGTGAGGTTTTTTTTTCCACTTCAGGAAAAACAAGCTTGACTAAGTTTTGAGTGTGACAGTTCTCACTAGTAAGCAGGTACAAGGGCTGGTCAGATCCACTGGTGTCTGATTTATGCTGACTTTAGTAACTACGTTCCACCATAGTCATTCTCCTTTCTCAACAAACACACTGCAGCTCCAGCAATTACATGCTGACATGTGCTCATCAACCTACTAGAGCAAAACAAAACAATAACAACAGACAGCTCCACTTTTGCTACTTGACAATATGAGCTGTGCTATACTGTGTTATGTCTGTTGTCTTTAGCTTTACTTTAGTGTGATTAAGAGTTTTTGGTTTTATAGCCAAAACTTTCATGTTCTGAAGAAACTTGTAATGGACTATTTCAGCCGAAGTAATCTGATTTTACCTTTTCTCTATAACTTTTAATCACTCAAACCATTTCTGCCTTTGAGCTTCATTAGCAGGTCTGTTTCAAATGGGATTCAACATATTTCCACATTATTAGATTATTTTAATTTGGGCATTAAAACTATGCTTTGAATCAGAGTTGTACTAGAACATAGATGCACCAATAATTCTTTCATTCTTGCTTGACTTTTTCATGTTAGTTGTTAAGTAAAGCAGTAACTATGTAGAATATTTGATAGTGATGTGATACCATATTGCCTGTAACCAAACACATCTGAATATGCTAGATACATTCAATGGACATTAGTACTTAGATTTTCATAAATATCAGTACTTAGATTGGTTAATTCTGATTCTAACTGTATGTACCCATAGCTTGTTCCCAGATACTTTTCAGATAATTTTAACCAATAACAGGTGGGTACAGCAAAACTGCCAGTAAATGTGATTATTAATTCTGAGGCTTGCCAAATTCATACACTTATAACAGTAAAATTATTTCCTCTGTAATCTTCATATTCTTAGTTTTCTGTTTCAGACTTTATCCATATCTTGATCACATGTCTGTAAAGCTATTCAACCTTTTAGAAGTTGATTTTGAGAAGCAGAAAATTAATTAACATATGAATCTGATTATTGTCATCTTATTTTTTTAAAAAATGTGTTTTGCACGGTTATTTGATAAATATGTATAGTACAAAATAATGTGATTAAGCTAATGGGATATGGACTTGTCAGAGCACTACCTTTAGTTCATATGTCCAATGACTTATTGCAATTTTTTACATCTGTTGCATGCTGTGTGACGTTTCTATCTTACATATCCCTTATTGTTCTCCTAGACAGGGTGCAACAGCTTTTTTTTCATCCGTAATAATGACATAAATGTATATTTGCAAACTGTGATTATAACTCAGAAGTAGATCACTTGTGTTCCACACCCAAGATCCCAATTCCAGTGTTCTAATTTTACAGTAAGTTTGAGTGAATTTAGAACTCAGTACAAGGATTTTTTTCATTTTTATTGATTATTTGTGAATTTCACATCATTCATCCAATTTCATTCCTCTTCACTTTCCCCCACACCCAACCTCCACCCTTACAACCTCTCCCACAACAGAAAAAAAAACTTGTTGTGGTAGCTGTAGTGTGTGTCTCACGGTATACCCTTTGTTCACACTTTTGCTTGCAAATGTTCATTACAATGACTTGTTGGCCTGGTACAAGGCCTCTGGCTTCTGTTACTCTATCAATACTGGAACACTCCAGGACTCTACTCAGTTCATCAGTGGGATAGATGTTGAGATGGGCAAATTCAAAGCCCTTGGTCTAGGCCTAAGAGGTTTCTAACCTGGTTAGCACAATGGGGTTTCTGCTGTCATGCCCTCAGGGCTGGCTTACCAGCAACCTCCATAACCAGGGCCAGCTACTGCCTAGGTGAGATGCACAGAAAGCTGTCATGAGTGTGAGTGGTGCAGCTGGTGAGTGACAAGGCCAGTTCTCCCACTCTCAGATCCCAGGGCCAGCTCTCCTGTCTGCCACAGAGAGTGAGGTATATAAAGGAGGAGATGGGGTTTTCTCTGTCATCTATGCCACTGTCCATCAGAAAAGAGAAAGGCCTGGCCTTCCCGGGTTCATGCCCTTGGTGTTAGCTAACTTGCAATCCACAACCAGGGCCTGTGTGTGCTGCCCAGGTAAAGTTCAGAGCATGCTCTCTTGAGTGCTGCAGAGGGGAGGGGCAGGGACAGTTCTCCCACTCTAGTAACCTTGCGGCCAGCTCTTCTGCTTGCCATAGATGGAAAGCAGTGAGAGGAGCATCTCTCTCACCTCTTTCAACACAGGCTGGTGCCAGCTCTCTCTTGCTCACTCCCTTAGGGCCAGCTTACCTGCAACCCCTACCGCCGGGGTCAACTGTACTGTGCTGCCCAGGCAAGGTACAGGGCCTGGTCTCCAAAGTGGGGCAGCTGGTGAGAGATGGAGACAGTTCTCTTATCATAATCAACTTTCTTACTTTCATGCTTTCAGGGTCGTCTTTCCTATGATGCTGAGGTGAAGAGTGGGGCCAGTTCTGTAGAGCCCTCAGACATTAATATGTCCCCAGGCGGCAACCCAGACCAAGGATGTCTGGCTGGCCTTTGGTGGTAACATACTCCTGCTACAACAGGGCCATGGGACCCAGATGTGTCCCCTAGTGGCAGCATAGGCCAGAACTCCACCATGGTCCCAGGTGGCACCAACAGGTACTCATATCAGGCTGTTGCTCACTATCCTGGAATCTCCAGATCTGCCTGTCTTCGTTGCTTCCACATCCTTCTGTTTCTCTTTCTCTTCCATTATTCCACCACTTACTTGCTTCTTTTAGTGGCACTCAGGGCTCTGACTGTCTGCGATCATCTCAAGAGTGGTGTCAGGAGTGCTATGCGTACGTAGACTATGGTCCTGGGCAAGTCTGCCCCACCCTCAATCCCTATACTTGTGGAGCGCCTGACTGGTGGTCATCTCAGGCTTGCTCCCTGTCTAGGACCCATGGCGTTGGTCTGGTGGTCTTCTGGGGCTCACCCCTCACCAGAGTAGCCCCTTGCCTGCCATGGGCTCACTCCTGTTCAGGGCCCTCTCTACCAGGAGGGGTTCTTCTAGTTTCCAGTTCTCTTCTAAACCTGGGAGCCCTTTAGGGCCTGCCTAGCACCAGAATGGTTTTTGTCTCAGGCTACTCCTCTGTCCAAGTCTCCTGGTGCAAGACTGGTTGGTAATTTCACGTTTGGCTTTTTCAGGGAGTGTTAGGCTACTAATTGTTCAGATGTTCATAGGTCAGAACACTGAACACAGACATAATCTGTCTCCTCTCTGCCACCTGCCAATGTACATGTGACACAGCAGTCATACCTGCAACACCTCTAGGGGTAACAGTCCAAGGATTCTTTTGTTTGATTGTTTGGTAGGTTGGTTGGTTTATTTTTTTGTTTTGTTTTGTTTAATTTTTAAAACTTTATTTATTTACGTTATGTCCCAATATCAACACCACCCCTATCTTCTCAGTATACCCTCATGCAGATCTTCCCCTATTTCTTCCTCCACTTCTCCTTTGAGAAGGGGAAGACCCCTCTGGGTATCCTGTTCCCCCTCCCTCCAGACATAGCTGCATTCTCTGCCACTGAGGCAGCCCAGTAAGGAGAATGGGATCCATAGGAATGGAACAGATTCAAAGACAGGTCTCACTCCAGCTGTGGGGGATGTGCATGAAGACCAAGCTGCGAATCTTGTACTTAAACGTGCGGCGTCCTAGGCCTAGTCTTTGCTCGCTCCTTGGTTGATGGTTCACTCTCTGGTTGGTTCTGTCTTCTTCAGGTCCCTCAGTCTTTCTTCCATCTCTTCCACAAGACTCCCTGAGCCCCATCCAGTGTTTAGCTGTGGGTCTCTGCACCTGTTTCCATTGGCTGCTTGGTGGAGCCTTTCAGAAGATAGCTCTGCTAGCCTCCTGTCTGCAAGCATATCATTAGTAGTGTCAGGGATTGGTTCTTGTCCATAGGATGGATCTCAATTTGGGCCAGTTATTGGTTGCAAGCCATTCCCTCTGTCTCTGCTCTATCTTTGTTCCTGCACATCTTATAGGTAGGATACATTTTGGGTCGAAGGTTATGTGATTGGTGTCCATAACTGAGAGTGCGACCTGGCTCAAGGAAGTGGCCACTTGACGATCTATTACCCACACTGTTAGGGGTCTCAGGTAGAGTCTACCTCATAGACACCCTGGGGCCTTCCCCCATCCCATGTCTCTGTTACATCCTATAGATTGCCACCCCCACTTCCATTCTTTCCCCCCTGCCCCCGACAACTCATTCCCCTTGCCTCATTTCTTGCCTGATCCCCTTATCCCACCCAGTTGCCTCCCTCCATCTACCTCTGATATGTATTTTATTTCTTTCTGAGAAAGATTCAGCCTCCCTTCCTTGGGCCCTCCTTGCTATTTGGCTTCTTTGGGTCTGTGAATTATAGCATCGTTATTCTATACTTTATGACAAATACCCAGTTATAAGTGAATACATACCATGCATGCCCTTTAGGATCGTCTTTAACACTATAATCATGAATGGATTTTTTTTTATCTTAGAATTTCTAATGTGACTTTGGGTATGTCCAGTCATAAAATAGGTATATACATGAAATTTTAATGATAGAAAATCACAAATAAATGTGTTTTAAAATAATGATTTGTTATGTTTTCACTATTTATTAATGATGAAAGATAACACTAACAAGATGCATAGATTGTATTTTTATGCAAAAACATAAATCTAGGCTGAATATTTGATACTGCAGGGCAGAGAATATTTTTAACATGCTTAATTTCTTGATATTGATAACTGATTCTATCATTACCCATACTAGAATGCTAGTTTGATAGATAGGTAGTAAAAAATTGAATTATGTCTAGGATTATTTCACAATTTGTGGGAAATTTAGACTTAAATCAAAAATTGTAATAACTTTTTATAAAACACAAGTAAATAGTTTCAAAGGCAGTTTTAAAAGTCAAATATGTTAACACAGTATGACCAAAATATACACTAATTTGACACTCACTTGATGAAAAATGATGATGAAAAAATGCTAAAAACCTTTGTTTTTGCTAATTTAATCCACTATGTTTTTACAAGAACAGAAAACATTGCGGGTAGAATAAAAGCAATATTCAATAATCTTGAAGCAGAGACAAAGTGCATAGGTAGCATTTGTTGGCCTTGCATGGGATAAGAGCATGCTTAATACATACTGACAGGGTTGAGAATTCACAACCAAAGCTGCAGTGAATTCACTTGCTGCAACACTGGTGAGTGCTGTTCCACATGTCTCAGATCTATTGTGAGTTCCGTTTTTAATTAATTTTTTCCAAACATGTTAACATGTTCAAGAACTAAACCCTTTGATTATTGTAGTCTGATTTCATATTTCCAACATGTCTCAGATCTATTGTGAGTTCCGTTTTTAATTAATTTTTTCCAAACATGTTAACATGTTCAAGAACTAAACCCTTTGATTATTGTAGTCAGATTTCATATTTCCAACATGTCTCAGTCTATACACATACTATATACTCTTATTTTTCTGTGAATTAATTATTTAACTCAGTTGCAACATTCATTGTTTCCTCTCATGAGTTCAATGTTATGTTAAACAAGTGAGAAAGACATTTCGTATTATAGAGGTGCTGGCATGCCAGTGAGAGGCCAAGAGAAAATATGTCAACCTCTGAGAAATTGTCGCACAGAACATAAGGGATTGTCACTAGGAGAGAGGAGACAGAGTGTCCACATGGTGCAGCAGTAAAAAGCACCTGGCGTGATTTCGCAATCAAAACAAATTGTTCTCATGCTTCACGTCCAATTTGGAATAGATTGTGATACCAGCAGGACTGCCTCCTATGGACTTTCATGAGAAGGGGAGAAAAAGAAAATATATACACCTTAGTCTGACTAATTCCTGATACATGATATATAGCTAGCCTAGGCTGTTAATTTTATGATTATTATCATTGCCCACCCAACTGTAGCAGAGAAGACTGTACTTGAGACAACTGCAGATTGCTTTTGGGAATAAAACTTTGATCTTAGAAATTTGGTTTGGCTTCAGGATCTGCTATTTGAAAATGATATTGCCTTCACATCTTGAAACTCAATTATTTAATGTAATATGAATGGGTTTTAATAACCTTTCCTGTTTATGCTTGAGTTTAGACTTTATGTGGATCCTTAAATACATCTTCTTAAAGATAGCAGAACTGTTTATTAAAATGCTAATTTTACTTAATGAAATGTGATTATAAAACTACGTAAAACAATAGGAATATTTATTAGATAAAACTAACCAAGTAAATACCTTCTGCTTTTCTTTAATTTGACTTCATTTTTTTTTAAATTTGTGTCTATAGACTACAAATAGAGCATGATATGGTTTTTACAGTCAAAAATTAGCTCTTCCTTTTTGACCCTTTGATGACACAGTGAGCACTGGGTTTTGTTCTTTTCAGTTATACTCAAGTATGGAATAATTCCATTTTTAGGTATGAGAAAGTTAAAATTAACTCTTAACTGAATCATGAATGGCAACAGACAAGCATGAAACCATGCACCACCACATAATGCACAGAGAATGTAGCACATCTTCTTCAATGTCCTATAGAGTAGAATTCTATTCTATAGAATAGATGAGATGTAATTTCAATAGATGAGATACAATTTTCAAATTACAAATTAAAAAGCTTTATTCCTAGTAGTTAGGAACTGGAAACAACTTAGATGTCTCTCAACCAAAGTATGAATAAAGAAAATGTGGTACTTTTACACAATGGAGTATTACATGGCAATTAAGAACAATGACATCATGAAATTTGCAGGCAAATGTATGGAACTAGAAAAAACTTCATCCTGAAGGAGGTAACTGATATTCAGAATGATAAGCATGGTATGTATTCATTCATAAGTGGATATTAGCTGCAAAGTAAAAGACAGTGATGCTGCAGTCCACAGACCCAGAGAAGCTAAGAAAGAAGAAGTAAGTAAGGGCTTAAGGGGGGGCATATGGATCTTCCAGGGAAGGTGAAATAGAACAGATTTCACGGGTGGACTAGGGGCAGCTGGGTTTGGGAACACGAAGAATCATTTGGCGGGAAGGAGGGAGAAAATACCGGGAGAGATGACTGGAATTGAGGATATTTCAGAGGTCAGGTAGGAAACCTAGCACCTGGACTTACTGTAGCTTTTTGCTTGCTGCTCTTGGTTGATTTCCCTGGCAGGCCTGCTCTTCTCTAAGGGGAGGAGATGGGGATGGATCTTAAGGAGAGATGAGGCACACATGGGGAGTGGGGGAGGCTCTGGGGTGGGGAGGGATTGAAATTGTGATTGGGATGTTATATATGAGAAAAGAATTTTTTTTTAAAAAAAAGATAGATCGAAGAATAGCAGAGATACACTAGACTAAGTACATTGTGTGTGACTAGATTGTATCTCCAGATATGACGCATACCACTGATGTAGCTAAAATGATTAAGTGAACTCTAAGGATGCCAGTAATGTATCAATATTACTGTTCCAGTTAGTTTTTGTCATCTAGATACACCTCAGAGTCATCTGGGAAGAAAGAAAGACAGTTGAGAACATGTTTCCATCAAATTGCCTGTAAGCAAGTTTGTGGGTTATTTTCTGGCTTACTGAGTGATGTGACAGAGTCTGTAATCTTAGTTTTTTAGACCTTTGCCAAAGTGCTCAGATACTTTCTCAGTAGAGTTCTCTGACAAAGGAATGCATACTCTAATTTCCAGACATAGGAATTTCTCCACTGGAATGGCTTAGTGGGTTTTCTTCATATCCTCTTAACCACATGAATATCTAAAATATCCATTGTTTTCTTGGAAAGTTCAACACCTCCACGCTACAACATTCTCAGTTTTAAATAAGTCATCTATTTTAGATATACATAAGTATTTTTATGTTGACATATTTAACTAAAATCATCTTATGCCACATAAATGTAGTACTCATGTTATACTGTTTCTTTTTATTAGTAATGTAATTCTCTCATTTCTTTCCTCAATTCAAGCTATTCGGCATCTTGATATTTGTTTTGAGTTACTAAAGTGACTTAGTTCTTTAATTAGGCTTGGAATTTTAATATTTATAAATCATGATTGTAAACACAGTTAAAGTGTAAGTCAGTGATTTCATAACACTGACAAATAGGTTACTCAGATGGCTAAGCATACCTTTGTGTTTTTAGGTTATCACTAAATTGAAAATCTGTAATATGATAAACTCTGGCTGAGAAACAAGACAAGGACAAAGTTGTTTGATGCTTTCTTTCTTTTCTTCTCTCTTTTTTTTTTATTTAGAATTTTTTCTTTTACTTATTTTT